GGAAAAGTATTGCTCATGGTAGTTAGGGGGTTGGGTTGTGGGCCAGGGTAGGAAGTAGTTCATCGCTGTATCAGGTTCCATGTCAGCCATGGCATCATCTGCCAGGTTTCATGAAAGTCTGGTTGGTAGGGTCCGTAGTTCCATGGGTCTGAGGTTGAAACATAGCTGAGGTCACAACGTTATCTCTAACTTCCCCGAAACTCTGTTTCTGTGGTGACTAGACCTGAGTCTTTGTTCCTAAGACTGTGTGATGCTGAACAGAATCTAGTGATTAGGGAAGGTGGGCACAGTCCATATGTGCAAAGGAGGAAGGATAAGAAAGAAAGGAGGCAAGGTGGTCCTGGTGCCATTGGACTGGACAAAGCCAGTGTGAAGACAGAAGACAGGAGAGAAAGGGCCAGGTTGCACAGTGGAGTTTCTTTGCAGTTACATGAGCTTTATTATACTTGTGTCATGAAAGGACAATTTTTTTTTGCTTTTTAGGTCAATTTTATTTTTTAAATCCTCACCCAAGGATATTCATTGAATCTAGAGAGAGGAAGGGAGGGAGACAGAAAGGGAGACAGAAACATCAATGTGAGAGAGGAACATCCATCAGTTGCCTCCCGTGTATGCCCAATAAGGATTGAACCCAAAACCTTGTGGTGCACAAGACGATACTCCAACCAACTGAGCCGCCCAGCCAGGGCTAGGCCAATTTAAATATATATATTGAACAGAGGATGAAGTACAGATGGGGTTTTGTCTGTTTTTTAAACATTTAAGAAAATTAGATGATGCTCCCAATAAAAGCATAAGCCTAATGAAACCTCAGAAAACATTTTCCAATCATCCTTGGTCTGTCCTTGGATTACTCTCTAATTCAGAATTCTGAAAGAATAAGAATCTCCAGATTTTGAAACAATTGCCAACCAAAACTGATTTCTCACCCGGCAGGCATGGCTCAGAGACTGAGCGTCGACCTATGAACCAGGAGGTCACAGTTCAATTCCCGGTCAGGGCACATGCCCGGGTTGTGGGCTCGATCCCTGGTGCGGGTGTTCAGGAGGCAGCTAATTCATGATTCTCTATCATCATTGATGTTTCTATCTCTCTCTCCCTCGCCCTCTGCCTTCCTCTCTGAAATTATATATATTATTGATTTCTCACCATCTTTTAGCTAAACCTTCTTCGGTGGCCTTCAGAGTGGAACAGAATAAACATCAGAAGGTGAGTATTTCCCAAATCCTGTTGAAAAGAAAATCTTCCTCCTGGATGCAAATGCAGGGAAGAGGAGGAAAAATAAAAGTGCACCCTAGAAATTGCCACCTTCCTTTCCTGACCTCTTCAACAAAATGCTCAATATCATCTTAGTCCTTAATAACATCACCATATAGTAGCTACCACGGGTTTTATCTTCACAATGCTTCTGACTCTAAGAATTCTACCTGAATAAACTCACTTACACCTTACCACAACCCTCTGAGGTAGGTACTATAACTATCACCATTTCTAAAGAGGAAACCGAGGTTTCAGACATATACAAGTGTTTGATTATATGTCTGAGATCACAGTATCGGTGGTCGTGCAATCTAATCCATAGCTTCATCTCTAAACCACTTACAAGCTCATTAAAATTTCAATAGTTTTATGCACTTTCCATCTTATCCATCCATGATTACATCTTTCACTGACTGATGATTCCAAACGTTATGCTGCAGCGAGAGATGCACTGAGACTTCCGACTCACGGAAGCTCACTGACATCTAGGCAGTTTGCACGGTGCATGGTCCCACATGAAAAGGACATAGGAACCCCAGCATCAGAGCCTCCCGGTCAAATAAAAGAAGGCATCTCTCAACTCTAGGGAGCTTCAGGCTTGACGATTGAGAAACAATAAACAATAAAGTGACTTAAGGACTTCATAGAGATGACACACTATTCAATAGAAACTCATCCATCTGGAACTGGTTTTGAGTGCTCATTCCAGTAAGAAGAAGTATGGCTTTTTTCTCTGAGCTCTAATTAGGCCAGTGTCATCTTGTTTGAATCATTTGCTCTGCCTGCCTACCTCTGCATTGTGAGATCTTTGGTTCACACCAGATTCTTCTCTTCTAGAAGTCCCAGGCCCAGCTCAGGGCCCCCTGAATGTTTGCTGAATGAGTGCTTTCAAATTTACAAATTAAAATAGAATAGGGTCAAAGAATAATAAAGATAATTTACATGTGATTTCAAATATAGAGATGGCTGAGAGGTACATTGATAGCAGGACTGTAATCTTGCATTCACACTGTATCAGAGCTCACAGAACACTTTGGAGAACATTATATTTCATGTTCACTATATCATTAAGAATTAGCATGGTATAGGTCAGGAAAATGAAGAGAACTAGCTAGTAGCACAACCTTATTCAAACAGAATTGGTGGGAACCAACTAATCTAATTACAAATATTCTTTCCATGATATAGTAATTTGCACATTTTAACATAATTTTCTTTATAGTCATGATAGGTTTCTGCCAGCCATTTCTTTTTAAAAATATATGTTTTTACTGATTTTAGAGAGAGAGAAGCATCAGTGAGAGAGAAAAACATGGATCGGTTGCCTCCTACACAGACCCCAACCAGGGATCTAATCTGTAACTGGGGCATGTGCCCTGACTGGGAATGGAACCGGCAAACCTTCAGTTCAACCAACTGAGCTACACCAGCCAGGGCTCTGCCAACTATTTCTTTCTTTCTTTCTGTTTTTCTTAATCCTCACCCAAGGATATTTTCTCATTGATTTTTAGGGAGAATAGAAGAGAGAGGGAGAGATAGAAAAAAATATCGATGTGAGAGAGACACATTGATTAGTTGCCTCCTGCATAAGCCAAGACCAGGGCCCGAGCCAGGGAAGAGGAGCCTGCAACCAAGGCACTCGCTCTTGATCGGAATCGAACTCAGGACCCTTCAGTCCGCAGGCAGACACTCTATCAACTGAGCTACACTGGTTAGGGCTCAACTATGTCTTATTCTCTTCCCAGTATCCTTCACTCTCACTGTTCTATAAAGAAAGATCCTTAAGGCATGGGTTCTAGTCTTCGATTCAAAACCCACATTGGCCATTTCTTTTTCCTCTAATATTCATACTTCCCAGGTATTTCAAAGAGTTGTTGAAGTGTTCATTAAAGTCATGTATATCATAAACCCTACATAATTAAATAAATGCATGTTACCTTTTAATATGTGACTTTCACATTGAAGGCAAAGTCCAGGGCGCCATTAAGTAATGAGTCTAGTTTGAAGGAATTGTCGGGAACAGCAAATTTGTTGACCACAAGTGGCTCAGAGCAGACCCAGAAAACAGTGCCCCCTCCTGGAGAAGCAAGTACCTCCGGACAGCACCCTAGATCGAAATTGGGTAAGTTTTAAATACTTTGGAGATTTCAGTTCCACTACTTCCTCTAGAAAGGCTGATCAGTATAGCCTAGGTATGTGGGGTGGACTTTGCATAGGCCTGGATTTGAAACTGGATTTGAAAGCTTCATTAGCACTGAAGCTTTGAGCTAATCTTACAACCACTCTGAGCTCCTGAATGCTAATGTGTAAAGTGAACGTAAGGAAACATGGGTCACATATAGTTTGAAAGCATTAAATTAAATCTCAAACAATTGACAGATGCACGTTGTCCAATAAATCCACCTGTGATAATAGCAACCATATTATCTTGGTGTTGTGTACCCAGGTCTTTACTCATTGCCTAACACATAATGTGCCCTCAATACATACTTTATGAATGACTAAAGGTTGGGAGGTTGAACCTCATAATGGGATCATCTAGAAACTAAAATTGAATCAGCCATCGGTAGTCAGTGTGGAGTGCTAGTCTTTTAGTTAACGGAGGAAAATACAAGATACTATAAAAGAACAGGTGATCATTTGATGGGAGGACATTGTGTGTTTTCTGACAAGACAGGGACTCATGTTCCAGACCTCATCCCCTCAGTCACCTGCCCTTCTCCCATGTAGACCTCAGGAGAAAGGAGATCGAAGTGAAGATGTATAGCCTACGAGAGAGGAAATGTCGTGTCTACCAAGAGATCAGCGAGCCCCAGGACGATGACTACCTCTGTAAGCTGACCCTCACCAAGGAGCATGTTATGTCCTTGATGCAATAATTTCACCTCGTCTCTGGGTGCCCAAATCATTCCCTTCCTCTCGTGACCGGGAGTACAGGATTGAGGCTCACTGATGTGAGCTCTTTCTGAAGCTCTTCATGTCCAGGAACATGCACTGTACCCTCCCTAATCCCTGTTGCTCTTGCCTCCAGATTGTGAGAAGTGTCAGAACTTCTTCATTGACAGCTGTGCTGTGCATGGGCCTCCTACGTTTGTAAAAGACAGTGCCGTGGACAAGGGGCACGCCAACCGCTCAGCCCTCACTCTGCCCCCTGGGTTGAGAATCGGACCATCAGGCATCCCTGAGGCTGGGCTTGGAGTGTGGAATGAGGAATACGATCTGCCGGTGGGCCTGCACTTTGGCCCTTATGAGGGTCAGATCACAGAAGATGAAGCCATAGCCAACAGCGGCTACTCCTGGCTGGTGAGAAGTTTACCTCTTCCCTGTCCTCTGGCTTCCCACGTCCCTCCTGTGGCTTGGTGGGCCCCACCTTCTACGTGCTGGGACATGGCTGGGGACAATATGGTTAGTTAGTTCTGTGTACTGAGCAGACTTTGCATGAACATGGAGCTCCTCTCTAAGGATCAGAGGGTAAGTGGGAGCAAAGTGGTACAGACTCCTCCCTTGTGTGGCTCCTGCTTAGTGAACAAATCAACTCAGACGTGTAGATGATGAGTAAGAAAAATATCCTGTGATCACCATTGGCAGCTGAATCACCATGCAGGCTGAAGGAGATTTGATGACAGTAAAGTAATTATTCTATTATGTAGACACACACACACACACACACACACACACACACACACAGCCTTTAACTTCTTTTCCTGAAATGCAGATCACCAAAGGGAGAAACTGCTATGAGTATGTGGATGGAAAGGATACATCTCAGGCCAACTGGATGAGGTAAGGTCACTAGGCTTCTGGATGCCAGAGAGGACACTCATGCCTCACTGCCCATACATCTGTCCTTCCAAGCATGCCTCCCTAATGGTCTCCCTCAGTCCTCTGTTCGCCTTTTTTCTCCATACAGTGATATTCAACATCAAGAGACATTTAGGAAAAGAGGAGGCATAAGTACAGCATATGTCCTCAAAATACAAGTCTCCACTTTGGGCACTGGGAAAACCTTGAGGACCCTGGATTACTCTGTGATTTATCTAACGACATTAGTTAAACACCTACTATGTTCCAGTTTAGAGGAAGGAATTAATTACTTACACAGATCACACAATCCATGTCCCTAGGGAGGACTTATTGCAGATGGATATGAAACATTTTATTTCATAAACATTTAACTATAATTTTCCTATTTTTCAAGAAGTGCCCAGTGCCCAGATAGCCTTGAACCAAGGATAGTCTAAACCTGTGGGGGCAGCCCATCATCCCAGCTTCAGTTCTAACTACAACTGGGTGTTGGAGCCTGCAGAGTAATAGTGCTCACGGCCCTTTCCTGAGGGGCTCTCTTGTATCAGGGGAGACAGATTATGAATAAACTACTATTGTTCTGTGTTATTTTTCTAAGACAGAGAGACCTCCACGTTTCTGTGGGAACCTGGGGGAGGCAACTGAACGATGCCTTCAATAAAGTGTGGGGAGACTCGAGAAAGGCCTCTGAAGAGAAAGTAGACTTGGGCTGAGTGTTGAATGATGTGAGTCCTACATCAAGCACCGAGTTCTGTGGTGTCACACAGAACCTGACTTAGAGCTTAGAGAAGCTCGAGGTCACCGGGTTTGATGGGAAAGTCTGGAATGAGGCTTTGGAAATGGCATTAGGCAGGATGAGCACTGAGAGCAGGACTTCGGGACAGGAATTCACGTGACGTTGTGACAGACGCTCAGGCATTGAACAGAAGCTTCCCCAGGAGCATGGGTGCGGGTGCCATCAGAGCTGAGGGCCTTAAGCGTCAGTGAGGATATGACAGGTAGTGGGAACTCATTGCCGGTGTTTTTCTTCCTTTCATCTGCCTCAACCCCAGGTATGTGAACTGCGCCCGGGATGACGAAGAGCAGAACCTGGTGGCCTTTCAATATCACAGGCAGATTTTCTACCGAACCTGCCGGGTCGTGAGGAAGGGCTGTGAGCTGCTGGTCTGGTATGGAGAAGAGTATGGCCAAGAGCTGGGCATCAAGTGGGGCAGCAAGTGGAAGACAGAGCTTGTGGCCGGGAGAGGTGGGCACCACTCTTCTTCAACATGGAAAGAAGGAATTCTTAGAAGTTTTCAGGGTCCAACTCTCAAGTAGAGTAGAATCCACTCTAGAGTTCAGTAAAGCTTCCAATCAGATGCTTCAGAAATTGATGATTCATCACATAGGTCTTTGATTCTTAGGAACAATTTTAATATTTTTATTTTTGTTCTAAGTTTTTAAAATATGCTTTTATTGGTTTTAAAGACAGATATGAAGGGAGAGGGAGAGGAATATCAATCTGCTGCCTCCTGCACGCCCCCTACTGGGGATCAAGTCCACCACCCAGACATGTGCCCTGACCAGGAATCAAACTGGCTACCTCTGGGTGAATGGGACAATGCTCAACCAACTGAGCCACACTGGCCAGGTTCCATTTTAAAAAATACTTCATGCACAAAATGCACAGCGTCATATAGTGCTGAAAGGATTAGAGGGGGGAAAAAAAAGTTCTCAGGCACTTAACCAGCTCTCTCATCAAGGCAGGTGGTTTTTTTAAAACACTTTTAGCTGTTTCTTCTTCATTTACTGCATATTTCTAAATGAAATGTGTGTGTTAACATGCATTCATTCATTATTTCAGTGACTTGCCATGTGAATTCCTACTCGGTGCCACACAGGGTTCCGGGAGCTGGACATACAGATTAATACGATGATCAGAATCACTGCTCCTGAGCAGCTGGCTGGTGAAGGAGGGAAGCCCAGGCATACATATGTGCATGTGCTTAATATTACACAGGGGTTAGCGCTTCAGAGAAAACGGGCCCAGGACAAGTGCCTAGGCATCAGTGTGAGGGGAGGGTGGGTGTGTCAGCTTCAGAAGGTCAGGGGAGGGCTTTCTCAGGAGATAACATTTACAACACCTGTGGCACAGGGTCCCGAGCAGAGGAAAGAGGTGGGGTATTGAGCTGGCTGAGGGCTACTCCTTTCTCAGTCTCGGTACAGAGGGTAAGAACGGAGGTTGGACAGATGCCTAGCAGCCTGGAAATACAGTGCCTTTGATCCAAGCTGAGATACTGGGGACTTTCCTGATTGAGACGGGACAATTGGGCAGTTTTCAACTGCAGACTGGCATGTTGTAAAATTATGCTTTGTTAATTTTTTGGAAAATAAACTTCAGTGGGGAATCCCCTCTGAGATTACTTCAACTGCAAGTGAGAGAGGAAGGCGGATTGGCTGGGGAGGGACGGAAGTCAGGAGTGTAAGAAGCAGAGTTGGGGAAATATTTTTGTTGTTGTTGTTAATCCTCACCCGAGGATATTTTTCCAATTTTTTTTTTGAGAGAGAGTAGAAGGGAGGGGGAGAGGCAGAGAGAGAGAGAGAGAGAGAGAGAGAGAGAGAGAGAGAGAGAGAGACATCAATAGCTGCCTCCCACACACACCCCAACCAGGGCTGGGGATTGAGCTTGTAACCAAGGTACGTGCCCTTGACTAGAATCGAACCCAGGACCCTGGAGTCCCCAAGGCGATGCTCTATCTACTGAGCCACACTGGCTAGGGGATGGTTCGGGAGATATTTTGAAACAGGACTTTGTAGTATATTTGAAATCGGCTAACACTGAAAGAAATCAAGTAGGAATACTGTGTGAGGAAAGACATATTTCCATTTTATGATTTGTGGAAAACTGAAAGAGAAGCAATTGCTAGTTGGGGCCTATGGTTTCTCTATTTTTAAATATTTTTAGTGATTTGAGAGAGAGAGGAAGGGAAACGAATAGAGAGATAGCAATATCAACATGGATCAGCTGCCTCCTGCTGGGATCGAGCACAAAACCTGGGCATGTACCCTGACCAGGAATCGAACTGGTGACGTCCTGGTTCATGGGTTGATGCTCAACCACTGAGCAACCTGGCCAGGCCTGTGGTTTTTCTCTTTAACATGACTTAGAAGATACATGTATATGGAAAGGTCACTATAGTCCCACCTATGTAAGGAGTGAAATGGCTTCTGATGGTCCTTGAAAGTCCCTAGTTTGCAATCTGTAAGACCTTTTTTCTTTTCAATCCTCATCCCAGGATAATTTTCCATTGATTTTTAGAGAGAGTGGAAGAGGGAGGGAAAGACAGAGAGAAATATCGATATGAGAGAAATACATCGATTGTTTGCCTCCTGCACACGCCCTGACCAGGACCCGGGCTGGGGAGAAGCCTGCAACCAAGGCACATGCCCCTGATGGGAATCGAACCTGGGACACTTCAGTCCGCAGGCCGATGCTCCATCCACTGAGCCAAACCGGTCAGGGCTAGAAAAGACTTTTGATATGGGGTCTCTGGATTTTGAAAGAAGATGAAGTGCAGACAAAGAAAAAGAAAAATAGACTGTAAAGGAACACTTTGTGGGAGGCAGAGCTTGCACTGTCAACACAGTAAGAATGATTCTGGGGCCAGGTCTTACCAGGAGACAGAGCATACTGTACAGGCAGCCTTGCCCACACCTGCCCTGACCAAAACTTTCTCCTTCAGCAGAACCAAAGCCAGAGATCCACCCATGTCCCTCATGCTCTGTGGCCTTCTCCAGTCAGACATTCCTCAGCCAGCATGTGAAACGCAATCACCCCTCTGAGATTCTGCCAGGAGCACCTGCAGGAAACCGCCTCCAGTCAGAGGAACCCGGCCCAGAGCGTCAGAATCAACAGCAGCAGCAACAAACTGGTCCACATGACTGGAATGACAAAGCTGAAGGTCAAGAGGTCAAAGGAAGGTCCAAACCTTTGCTTAAAAGGATCAGGCAGAGGGGAACTTCAAGGGCCTCTTTCAGGCCTCCAACGGACAGATGGGGAGCTCCAGTGAGCGTGAGGGAATAATGGAGGAAGAGCCCAGCACAGGCCAGAATGTGAATCACAAGAACACAGGAAAATTATTTGCGGGAGTAAAAAGGTCAAAAATTCTAACAATCAAGCATGGAGGGTGTGGGCAAGGCTTCAATGATGGGTCACATATCGACACACACCAGAGGACACACTCAGGGGAGAAGCCATATGTGTGCAGGGAGTGTGGGCGAGGCTTTACACGGAAGTCACATCTCATCAGACACCAGAGGACACACTCAGGTGAGAAGCCCTATGTGTGCAGGGAGTGTGGGCGAGGCTTTACAGAGAAGTCAACTCTCATCACACACCAGAGGACACACTCAGGGGAGAAGCCCTATGTGTGCAGGGAGTGTGGGCGAGGCTTTACAATGAAGTCAGATCTCACCAGACACCAGAGGACACACTCAGGGGAGAAGCCATATGTGTGCAGGGAGTGTGGGCGAGGCTTTACAGAGAAGTCACATCTCATCACACACCAGAGGAC